CAATTTTCTAGAATGTTTAGAAATCAATAGAATCAAGATTTCGAGTAATTTACTGAATGATCAATTAGAATTGAATAACTTCCCGTTACTAAATATTTTTGAAAACTGGGACATAAGCTCAGGTAGTTTAATTCATTACAAACTTAGATAAAAATCAGATACTTGAAATGTAGGTACTTCAAATTGTAAAATAAGGTATATGAAGCATTGAATATGTAGAATTAGTAAGTACACGCCCGAAGAAGCCATTGTATAGCGAAACACGTGTTGCGTTTTTGTAAAATCGTTTAGTGAAAATACGTCAACTACAACTTGGAGTTTTTTAAAATTTATTTTCAAACTTCCTCGACAGATATCAGAAGAGTTTTTGAATGTGAAATTAGTCAATGGTATTAATTGTTCTCCATTAAAATTCGTATTTTTGGGTTATGGAGGGTGAGAAATACTGTTTCCATCCTCTACAAATTGCTTTTGTTCAATTTAATATATAGTAGTGTGAAGTATTGATTTAAAAAAATGTATGGGTCTGGTATTACACGATTCTGAAATACTTGTAAATTAAACCGTATTCAATGCTTCGAAGACATGTTTCATGGTGGTTTTATTAGAATTTCTACAGAGTATACAATAAGCTTGACGAATGTGGAACAAGTAATACTCGAATGACATTGGTACAAAAGGAGATGTCAAGTTTGTGCAAACATATTTTCATGGCATGTGTGGAAATACTAATGAGAAAACATTAGAAATTCAGGCCAGTTTCGTATAAACAAACCACTTGTAACGAGTAATTGTTGATATTGAATGGAAGATGACTCGAAACAATAATATACAGCGTGATTCAAAGAGTTATTATTTTTTGCCTCATTGTCAAGTTTTAACGAAAATTACACACCTGTAATTTTGAACCAATTAAAATATGTTATTCTGACAAATCACCATGGCAAAGGAGGTGTTTCAGTGGAAATTTTTTTCTCGTGGAATACCCAACAGCGAATTACACTGGAAAATTTTTTACGTTTACAATAACAGACCATTTTTGACAGATTGGTGTTTATTTGTTCACATAATATTTAATTTTGATACATTTTAATTACAAAGCTAAGATGTTTTCTATATTCTTCGGACACCTCTTCTCTTCTTAATGGCGATAATGCAGGACTTTGAATGTTTTTAATTCACTGTCTGTATCTAATGAAATATATAATATTTGAACACTAATTTATTCACCTATTTCCCATTCAGTACTTTCAATTTTGCGTAGTTTAGATGCAAATATTCGTGGACAATTCGGAACAAATTTTTTTCTTCAAATTGGAGCTACAATCCTCTATTAACGCGAGTAAATAAGTCATGGAACGATGATTGATCATTACATCAGACAAATTCACGCATATTTTGCATATAGTATTATTTTCAAATCGATTCATTTTTCAAACAAATAATTTTGTTGGTTTTACTGGCTGTGCAGTATTCTTTATTGCAACAAAACACGAGTTTTTTTGATGGAAACTAAAAAATAGTCCATGCTGTACTTCCCTGCAATGAAAGACCTTTTACTTAAGTAAAAAAAACATCACTCTATTGTTTTTCAGTTTCTCAATGAGCGTAAAAATGGTCCTAGTTTGCTAATTTGAAGAATTTCATAATTCCAATGACGCACATTTGATTGTGATCAATTACTAGTGAAACAGTTACGAATATTCAAGATATATTAAAGTTATGGTGGAGGATATTTGTAGAATATGGTGAAGGTTATACAAGGTCATGGCGACACCAAAGTTTTAGCTTTCTGCTCCTCCATCGTTAAACAATAAATGTGAGGAACTTCCAAAGAGAGGAAGGAATAAAATAACTTCATTGAAAACTCCATGAGAATATGTAGAGTATACACAAAAATTTCTTTCAAATACAAAATTGCAGTAAAACAAACTCATCCGGAACAACTATTTTCACATAAACATTAAATTACTGTTACAGACCAAAAAATTCTAATTTTTCAATAACTTTCATCCTCTGAAAATAGAATTGAACTGGCCTATGCTTGATGTAAATCCAGAAACATCAGAAACATTTCAAAGCAGTTAACTCTTCGATATTTACTACAACAGGTTTTACAAATACCGCAACATGTAGGTATTAACAATAACAAAGACATAACTATTCGGTGTCGTGAGTTAATATATTGTCGTGTGGATCATGTCTGACGATTTACATAGGTCAAATTAGAAGAATATTCAAAANCAAAAGATGGATGAAAGATCATATAAATAAAACATGAACTATCAAATTGATACAGATAATTTGAAGTTGCTCAAGATTATTCTATATGATGATCATTAATTCATTCATGTGTTTTTATCAGGACGTGAATAATTGATAGACGTACCCGGCCTTTTCAGGTAGAATTCAGGTAGAATTCATCCTTTTGGATTGTAGGTGATACTTGATATTGTTAAAGTACGACGTGAATGTATTTTGGAATTAATTTATCAATTCTGGAAACAAAACACGTATCAATATATTGTAAACTTTTTATAAAGAAAACTTGCGTTGAACTTCATTGGAAGATTTTCAGATAACAAAAATTGTGCATATCATAACAAAACTGGCATTTCAGATACTATATTCAACTCTACCCGGCGTCCTCGATCGAAAAATCTAACACAACTTACGTAACTTAGCTGCCCGTATAGAGAAACAGAAAACAGTCGCGAAGAGAGCAATAACGTTGACACACAAACCCATGATGGCTTGTAAAACTGCACTAGACGATTGTTTTTCGAATCAGCGAGACTACTTGGAGATGAGGTATATGGGAACTCCCTACTCCTTTTATATACTCTCACAGAGCAATTAGTGGCCGGTGTAATCATACATACGATAGTAAAAACTGTTTTCGAGTAGGGTCATTCAGTAGTGAAGGATATTGACGTCTGTTTTCAGGTTCAGGGTGACATGAAGGCAGAAGCCTTCATGTCAAAATTGTAATGGAGATGTTGAGAATAATCATTTGCAGGCTTCATCCTATTCAGGTCAATATGTACTTCTATTGGAACAGAGTGAAAATTCAACGTACATCTTTGCTGACTGCAGCAAATTCAACCTATGTTTCAAATAAGAAGCCCCAAAATCATCTTCCAATAGGCATCTTTGCCGAAAATGAACCTTTCATATCTTGACGTAGACTTGAAAGATGTTTTTATTTTGGATGAAAACTTAGGTCTCAGTTTTGTCTATAAGAAAGGACACGGTTCTGCAAGAAATTACTTCTCAACAGCATCTAGTCAGGCGAATTTTGAAACAGCTCAATATCAATAAGGCGTCTGGGCCTGATGAAGTGCCCGTCATCGTTCTTAAAAAGTACACAAATTAACTCGCATCAGTATTTTGCAGACTTTTCAACCTGTCACACAAGAAAGGGGTTTTTCATTCTTGTTGTAAGATTGCTCGTCTATTTTCAAAAAGGGCAAGAAAAATCTTCCAAATAACTATAGTCCAGTCGCTTTATCATCAGTGATATCAAAAATCATAATAATAATAGCTTTATTTTGTTAATTTGTTAGTTAATTTGTTCAACAATTTTTGGACAATCAACTCTCTCATTCACTAATTTGAATAAAAATATGAGCGACGCACATTTTCTGCGATGCTCTAAACTGAAAAGCTTCATGGCTTTGATATTATGAAAGTTTCTGCAATTTCTAACAATGAAACCATAAGCTCTGAGAGATTCTGAAACTTTTAGTGAAATATGTCTACCAAATGTTAATTTATCATAGAATATTACCCCTAGGTCTTTGATCTCATTACATCTCAGCAGATCTGAATCCTGAATTACATACGGGAATGTATGAACCTCTTTTTTTCGACTATTACTCACTACTTCACATTTCTCCACATTGAGTTTCAATTCATTATTGCTACACCAAACAACAAGAAATTCTAATTGAAATTGAAGATTCACACAATCACCTACTTCCTTGATTATAGTCAAGGAAGTCATCCGCGAAGCATAACCGCTCACAAGCTCAACTTTCACATAAGACATTAATAAACAATAAAAACAAAAGAGGACCTAGGTTGGAGCCCTGAGGCACACCAGAAGAAGCTATATATGTTCTAGATTTATAACCGTTATAGGACACGAATTGTTTTCTACATGTCAGATAGGATTGCAACAGCTGACATGCAGTATTCGAAAAACCGAAACTCATCAGTTTATTGAGCAAGATACCATGATCAATTTTATCAAATGGTTTAGAGAAATCCGTGTATATAGATCTCTAGACAACATTGTTTGTATGTTTGCAAGATAGTTATCATGTGGAATTCAAATCTATCTTCGTCACGTCTAAATTTCTTGAATTTTTTTCGAATTTAGCCTTCTGTTTAATGTTCTTTATGATATCAGAATGAAACCATTTAGGATAAACATAAGTGAGATTTTTGAATTTGGACATATGATCCCCAAAAATGCCATATAAAATTGAATATAAGTTATCGACTAATTGCGTCATGGCAACAGAATTCAAAGTGGGGACGGAGGGAGAGAGTAATAGATAGAGAAAAAGTGAAAAGAGAATAGAGGAATAGAAACTCGGAGAGGGAAATATAGGTATCACATAGCTGCACGCATTAAACTTTATCGACGAATTTTTGTTATTTCGGCTTGCGGAAATCGTCAGATTATATATTTTTCGTTATCCTTGAATTATTTCCTTCAAAATAAAAAAAAATTAGCTACGCTCGAGAATGTCGAAA